TAACGATAAATTAGCGAAAATTATGAATTGCTCAAGTAAAATCAAATCGAACCAAAAAGAGATCTCTAAATAAGCAAGGGAGTAGAAAAGTTTTGGAACCAACCTTTTTTCGTAGAAAAATTAAAACTAAAGGTATCTTGAGATGTATAATTACAAATAATTTGAATGGAGAAAATTGTATTAAATATGTTTAATCCGGAATGAACAACGCTATGACACATAATCAGTATCATCATAGCCAAATTTAGTCAAATTGGTATTGCTTTCAAGAACCAAAAATAAACGTTCAATATAAAATTTTTATAACTCTTGTGAATGGTTTATACTTTAAATCATTCGATATAAAACAATGGAACAAGTAATGATATGATAGAATCAAGTAAAGTCATCACCACGATTGTTTCGGGATCATTGATGAGTGCCGTCTTGATGATTTCAATAAACACGTTTTTCATTTTCCATACAATTAATTTTACCATTATAAAGAGTTCTATCGTTATTGTAATGACCGAGTTTGTTTAAGTCTGGGCGTAAATACAGTGTTTCGGCGTAATGGTCCAACACATTGTAAACTTGTTCCTCCAAGAATTCCAATAGAAAGAAGAATCAATTATTACCTTGATGTTACTAGAATGATTCATTATAAACCATGTAGCTCGCATAACAATGATGTTGGAGATCAAGAAGCAAAATGTATAAATATAAGTTGTGCGAGACACAAAGTTGAAAAGCAAGTGCAAATAAGGTAATTCCAACTATGCTTTAAAGGACATTTTTCAACAAAACCCTATCGTCCTGACCATCACTATTTTTTCTTCGCTAAATGTTAAAAAGTTCGGTTATGTTCTGGTTCCTCTTGATATTGAGCCAACAGATTTTTATTCGTTGAACTAGTTTGAAAACCCGTGGCGATTAATGAAATTCTTTGGGTTGCTCCAAAGGATTTTCTGTCACAACCTCCTCAATTACTAGACGAAATAAAAATTTAACTAATTCTTTGTTTCGTTTTTCAGTTAGTTTAATGTGAAACTTACTAATCTTGATCTTTTTTTTTTCTCATTTCGAAGAGATTCAATAGAAAAAATTAAAACAGTTTAGAAAGGATGAAGTGTTTTCATCATTGT